TTTTTTAAGATACTGAAAAGTGAAGCTGGCAGCTGTGTTACTGATGAAGTAAGAAGTTATGCAACTGCCTGTGTACAGCTTTTTGCTTGTAGATGACTCACTAATGCGGTTCCTGACTTAGACTAGGACGTTTTTAGCCAGTAGAGTCTTAAATAGAAATCCTCTTAGCCTTGTGCTAGATTCTCTGTGTCAGCTTTGACAAGTTAAAAACCAACAAAATTAGAATTTTTTTGGACAGCAAGTCCACCTGCTTTCAGCTGATGTTTTGTGCCACTAGTGTTTGCTCTGAGACAAATTCTCCTATAATCAATTCTGTCTTGGATTTTAAACTTAGTGTATTTGTCAAAATAAGACACTAAAGAGTAGAGCATTTTTGAAGAATGGCATAAACTGTCATCCACTCAGTTCCTGTTGATGATGACATTTAAATGTAATAAGGTGTACATTTGTCTCATTTTTGTTCTTTCTAATACTGGCCATTATCAGAGAGAGGACATTAAACTGCGTGGACTTTTGATCTGACCCAACTTGGCCGTTCGTACGCTGTAAAGTGCATGGTGTTAGTTTAAAAAAAGTCTAAGCGCAACAGACTTCTTTGGAAAAGGTTCGTACTAGTTCTAGATACAAGTCGTACTTTCAGAGGTACTAAATGACTGGAGGCTCTAAATAGACTCTTATTGGGGGAAGGTGATAAAGTTTTTTCCCCCCTTATGTTGTCCATCTTTGTTTAAGTTTTTCTTTTTGAATAGGCTGTGGTAAAACAAACAGGTGTATCATTAGCATTTGTAGGTACAGATCATTTTCTAGACTGTCTCTCTTTAGAAGTGAGGCGTCTTCCTAATGAGCAAAGCTATATATTGTGTATAATCACATTCCCACAGGGTGATTTAAAAGAGAGCATTGTTTTGTTGCTTTTGTTCTGATCACGCCTGCAGGACGCAGAGCTAAAAGGGAGTCAGCTGCAGTTTCTTCTCCCTACATCACCTGGAGCGTGATTCTCAAATAGATTGTACAGAGATGCCACCCCAGCTGTTCTTTTTTCTACAGTTATATGCTTAATTCAGTTTCATTAGTTATTTAAGAATTTCACAGTGTTACTGAGGGCTGATTTGATACTGTAATAGAGGGAGAGATCCTAGATTATTGTGTATGGGCATACATTGGATTAATTTGTAGGGCTGCATTAAAAAGACAATGTGCACATGATAAAGAGTAATTGAAAGACAATAGACGTGGAGCCACACAATTCCATTTCTTCAGAGCTGTTTTTTGGAATAGATTTACATTGTAAGTGGACAATTTTGTTTGCTTACATTGAGAAAGCCTACAGCATTCAGATAGTTTGTAGGATAAATAATTACTGTTCATCTTCCTCACTAGAATGTGATCATCTACTCATATCTAGAAGTAATGTATGATTTATTTACACTATACAAAATAGCTAATAAAGAAAAGACATGCTACAGACCTTAGGGATGGGATTTTTTTCAGTCTAGTCTGGCATTTCTCTCTGGGCATTTTAATGCAAGTATCTCATCTTTGGAAGATGAATCTTCAGTGCAACACAGATACAATCCTCAATGGATTTGAGAGTTTCTCTTTCAACCAATGCATAGTTCTGCTTAGATTTTGCACTGTTGGTCTTCATTATCTTTTGCTGACCTCATTTGATCTTTTATTCGTGACTCTCATAAAATCTTCTGTAGGCTTCTACCTGTCTTCATTCATTCCCTTTTATATGCTTTCTCTCTTTTGCACTGTATTTCTTTTCTGATCTTGTTGCTTATGTGAATGGGGAATAATTCCCAAAATGTGTGTCTTAAAGAAGGAAAGAAAAGGAAAAATCTTATATATTTAATATCTATTTAAATCTTAATCACAAAGTAATATTGTAGAGCTGATTTTTTGTATTTTTATGGGGCCATGTGAACACTACTGCTTTGTACCAATCAGGATAAAATACTGCTCAATTGTTACTAAGAATAAACCGAACAATGCAGTAGTTAATGTACCACAGAATACACGTTCATAACAGAAAAACTGTTAAGAAAATAGATTTATAGGGTAAGGGTTTTTTTTTTTTTTTTTAATATCGGGGAACCACTAACCGCTGACCTGTTTTGAAAAATTAGTGTTCCAAGAACTCATTGAAAAATGCAAAGAAAGTCAAAGAACTTTTGAATTTCTTTGCGTTCATCTATCTTACATAACCACTGGACTACTCAAAGTAACTGAACACTCCACTATGCTTAGAAGTGTTCTTTTGCACAGCACCCTCTTTGCTATGTGAGTCTTTTCCCTTCTTTGTAGGAAAGTACTAATATCAGAATTTTATAGTAGTAAACTGAGGCAAATTTGGTGCATTGGCATCACAACTGAATCCAAAAGGTAATTTTGACGTGTAGGCTTTATGATATTTACAGAAAGAATCAGATGTGAGTTCACATCGATCGTAGGACAATTGAACTAAAAAATACTGCACAGGGTGGGGTGATTCAAAGCTACCACTCTTAGGTCTTTCACACCTTTTTATGTTAGTTATTATTTTTTATGATGTATATTAGGCTAATGCACCACTCCAAACATAGTTAGGAACATTCTCTAAAGGTAGGTGCCTACAAAATTATTATTTCAAGCAATGGTCGTGCCTTTTATTCAAAATATAGCTGCTAAAGGTAGTGCTGGCCAGCTTTCATCTTTTAAAGCAGCAGGAGGATAGTTAACTGGGACACTGGAAGAAGAATTTGTCCTGACCTTTCTGTGTTTGATGGGATTCAAACTCATACCTCCCACGTTCTGGAGATGAGAGGTTACCCTAGAACTTGGTTAGGACAGGAATGGGAGTGGGACTGGAGAACGTTCTAAGCCTGACTCCTATTGAATGATTATATGGAATGATTACATACTCGTTAAACAAGAATGAGAGAAAGAGAGAGATAGAGAAGATAAAAATACGTGATGCATCACTGAGTATTTAGGCCATCCACAAATGAAGAGGGAAACTTCAGTTACAGTCCCTGATCTAATTATTTTTTAAATATTTAATATTATGTTCACTGCAAAAAATATTTACACAGAGATGGAAACCCGCGTCTACCTTCCCAAATAAATGTTTGATCTGCTAGGCATTTGAGTCACATTCATGGTTGTGCTGTCTCCGGAAGGTAGAATATGTAATAATTCCCCACAGCAAGATGAAATTGCTTCAAAAGAAAAGCATACAGCTTCCTTATTTCTTACCTCCCCTTCCTTTTCTAACCTACACTGCAAATTAGTTTATTGCTGTAATATTTTTGACTTGGAGATGATTCTGAGCTTCCTTCATCTTGGACAAGTAAGCCAACCACACATGTATGGGATTTAAGGAAGAAAGATTGTATGTCAGAACTGGGCAGTGAAAGGTCTTCACAGAATTATGCCTTGCAAACAAAGTAGGTAGAGGAGAGTACCACTCTGAGCTTTTCCTGTGCATAAGCCTGCTTATGAATGTCAAGAATGAGCTGGATATGCTCAGAGCCAAGTCTTTAGACATGTAGGGAACTTTGATAGCAAGAATGTCCTGCTAGCTGAATTCACAGGATAGCAGTTTTTCACTCTGGCACATGATGGAAGAATTGGATATAACTAAGGTATTGATATCCTCGTACAGACTTAGTACATAGCTAATTATTTAGGAAAATCTATTTGTGATCGGTAAATAAATTTCCAAGTTCCAGGCTATCACCATCACTAACTGACCATCTGAGTACAGAGAATAACTGTAGCTTTGGGTCAATTCTTTAGAAAAAACATGTATTTATGAATAATAGGTATCAAATCTGTACCTTGCTAGTAGGTATGCTCTCTCTTCAGTCTGAGCGCAGACTTATGTTAAAGTAAATGTCAAAGAGAGTTAATAACTGGTAGTTAGAAAGAAGAGAAACACTAAGTATTTCAGATAAAAAGTAATGATAAGTAATGATAAGATATATATTGACCTCCATGGGTGAAGCCCATGTACTTACTTTTACTTGTACGACTCAAATTTAAGTATGTACAAAACAGAACATTAGAGGTCATTATCGGCAGAACTTTCCCCCCTTGAGTCATTGCATTTGTCCCAGGGAAGGTGATAGACATCTGCTTGGCAGAATTATGGTCCTTAGTATTTCCTCTTTGAAAAAATGCTGGGTTTTGGCCAATCACAGTTTTTGGCTGACAGTTCTTATGGAAATGTCTGACTGTTGGACTGAACAGGTCCTAGGACGTTTATGCATCTTAACTGGCCAGTCTCCTCTTAAACACATTATACTGATCTTGCAAAGTACTAAAGAGCTGAGTATACTCTGATCCATAATAACTAGACAAATCTCTAAGGACAGACCTTGGCTAGTGCAAGTTGGTATAGACTCATTCACTCAACCATACTTTTATGGCTTTCAATATGTATGTGAAACTATGTACTGTCTTTGTTGTCATTTTTCACTTGAAAACAAAGGCAAAAAGCCTGCTTTATGATTCAGGTTTAGTGCAATTGAGATTTTTTTAATCATAGATATTGCATTGAACAGCTTATCATAAAAGACATGTTATCCTCAGGGACAGCTATTGTACTGCTTTTGCCTCTGCAATAGCACTAACAGTAATAGAAGGTGTAGAATGCAAAATCAGCCACTGGGTAAAGTGAAAGTGTGGGCCTGATTCTGTATTATCCTCCTGTGGAACAAAATTGGCATAAACCTGATGTAATTCATTTGTTCCCCCAGGGTGCTTATAAACAAATGGTGGTAAGATATTCTGGTATTCCTTTACACCATAGTTTGAGTCATCAGATGAAAGAACACCAGAAAAATTCATATGGATTTTTTTTTTGCAGTTCAGTTTTCTGTTTGTTTGTGTTAAATAAAAAATAATCCCTAGAATACCATTCAGTTTAGATACTGAGGATGAGATCAGGGATGATGTTAGAGCTAGAAGTAAACATACTAAGGTGCAATTACTGCTAGGGTTCTTCTAAAATGATCCATATTAATTTTTACAGTCTAATTATGGTTTTCTAATACAGATCATTTTGAAAACAGCTAAATGTGCCCAAGAGAAGAGAGGGCCTTTAACTATTCCTTCAGAGGTTAAGCAGGTTCAGGGAAACTAGAGGGAGGAAGGCTAGGTGGGGAAATATTTCAAGTGTCTGAGACATGAGTCAGACCTCAGTCATTCTTCCCTAGATAATCTGTCTGCGTTTACTGCAAAGGCAACTGTGCTTCCTAGTTCAGTGTTATTTGGTAGGTATTATATGATTTTAAAATATTTGTGTATTATTTGTATGTTGGTCACATAAGTTATAACCCTACAAAAAATGTGTTAAATAAATATCTGGTCTGCAGAGTTTTACACTGATTGAGGCTCTCGCCCCTGATGTAGGTTGCAAACATAAATAAAATAAAGACAGTGCTAAATTCAGGCAGCAAAACTAAAATTTGACAGTCAAATTGGACTTGTTAATGATAATAAATATATTAAGTAGTGTTTATAGGTTCTGAAAAAAAGTAGAGAAATTCTATTTACCTTCAACTACTGAAGCAAAAATTGTAAGCTACCCCAGACACATGGGAGGTATGTTGACATTGGTGACACGAGGCCTGATCCTGTATAGATTTGCATGCGTGCAATTGTGTTCACATGTGTGGACTCATAAACTTCAGTCAAGTTACAGTTAATAAATTCCTTAAGAAATTTACAGTATAACATTTTCAAGATGCCCATATTAAAAAAATGCAGAAATATATTAGAAAATTTTAACAGTAGTATACTTATACGGCAACGCTGTCATAATCTTTTGCATTTAGTTCTGTGAACAACATGTAATTTGCTTAGACTTCTGACGCAGAGAGAACAGCATATTCTTTTAAATACACTTAGAAATAAAAAGCAGTTAGTAACCATCCTCCCCTTCCCCCTTTCTCCCTTGCCTCTTCTCCTTTTTTTTTTTTTTTTTTTTTTTTTTTTTTAAGTATCATTCACTATCCTAGTGGAGAAACTTAACCTGAAGTACACTGTTCAAAACCACAAAAGAACAACTAATCAGGAATAATCCTACTGAAAAGATGTGCATGTACCGATCATTAACTGTGTCTCACTTATGCTTCAGGTCAGAGGTGTAAAGGGAGTCTTTTTAGCCAACCAGAAGATTGATGGGAAAGTTACAACTCTAATAACGTACAACAAAGGCCGTGACTGGGACTTTTTAAACCCTCCAGACATTGATATGAATGGCAAACCAACAAACTGCAAACCTGTAAGTGGTTCTTTTAATCTATCCTTTGTCTAAAGTGCACAAGAATTATTTGTATGCTAGGATGTGCAGTGGTTTAGACAGCCTAAGAGCTTTGTGCTGACTTTACCTGCTAAACTGATAGACAAGTTTAGTTGCACTACATGAGCAGTGATTTCACAAGCTGATTGTGCAGTCATCTTTCAGCATGAGTAGTCATAACTGTCTATAGCACTGCATTCCTTGTTTTAGAGCCTAATGTATGTCAACCACAAAACCCAGTTCAGAATAATCATTAACAACAGTCATTCCTGTCTGGATATTAGGGGCACATCATGCAGAGCTCAGAGGGTTGCGGTCAGTGGCGCAGAGTCTAGTTGGAGGCCTGTAGCTAGCGGTGTCCCCCAGGGGTCAGTCCTGGGTCCAGTCTTGTTCAATATATTCATCAATGACCTTGAGGAAGGGACAGAGTGCACCCTCAGCAAGTTTGCTGATGATACTAAACTGGGGGGAGTGGCTGACACACCAGAAGGCTGTGCTGCCCTTCAGAGGGACCTGGAGAGCTGGGTGGAGAGGAACCTCCTGAAGGTCCACAAAGGCAAGTGCAAGGTCCTGCCCCTGGGGAGGAATAACCCCCATGCAGCAGGACAGGCTGGGGGCTGACCTGCTGGAAAGCAGCTCTGCCGAGAAGGACCTGGGAGTGCTGGTGGACAACAAGTTGAGCATGAGGCAGCAGTGTGTCCTTGTGGCCAAGAAGGCCAATGGGATCCTGGGGTGCATGAGGCAGAGTGTTGCCAGCAGGTGGAGGGAGGTGATCGTGCCCCTCTACTCCGCTCTGGGGAGGCCTCAGCTGGAGTACTGTGCCCAGTGCTGGGCCACCCAATACCAGAGAGACATGGCGCTACTGGAGAGAGTCAAGCGGAGGGCTACAAAGATGATGAGGGGACTGGAGCATCTCTCCTCTGAGGAAAGGCTGAGCGAGCTGGGCCTGTTCAGCCTGGAGAAGAGAAGACTGAGAGGGGATCTCATCAACGTGTGCAAGTATCTGAAGAGGGAGTGTCAAGAGGATGAGGCCAGACTCTTCTCTGTGGTGCCCAGCAACAGGACAAGAGGCGACGGGCACAAACTGAACCACAGGCAGGTCCACCTGAATCTGAGGAAAAACTTCTTGACTGTGAGGGTGACAGAGCACTGGAACAGGTTGCCCGGAGAGGTAGTGGAGTCTCCTTCGCTAGAGATATTCCAAACCCTTCTGGATGTGATCCTGGGCAATATGCTCTAGAGGAGCCTGCTTGAGCAGGGAGGTTGGTCTAGATGATCTCCAGAGGTCCCTTCCAACCTAAACCATTCTGTGATCATCAAAGAAATATAGCTCACCAATACCTTTTCTGTTTCCATCTTTCATGTTTTTGTTTATCTTAAACCTAGATAATCCTGTTAAAGGGAATTCTTGACAGTTGCTTGGGAATAAACACCACATGGTTAATTCCGTCAAAAAGTCCACTGTTTTTGTGAGATGATGTTATTTCAGTTTGTTTATATGTCCCAGCTACACATAGTATTTTCTTATTTGTCAGGCTGTACTAAAAAGCCTTGTATTTTTCTCACTGGCTCTCTGCTCCTGTGGACTCTGAGCTCTGCATTGCTGCACAAAGTAAATCCTTCAGTCCTGTCACTGCCAGAGATTTTCTCTCTCTCCACATAGCAAAAATGGAAGGCGAGGTGCTGCTGGCTCCCTTTTGAAGAGTTCAGGACTGCAGTACATGGTTCAGGCCTGCAGTGCCTGATCCAGAGCTCCCTGAATTAGTGGAAGGTCTTAGGCTAACTGCAGTGGAACCAGCTCCCAGTCATTCCTGACAGCCTGCTTCTGGTGAAGTTAACAACCAGATTGCTGTAAATTTCAGTCGGAGCAATAATGACTTTCAGGTCACTTAGAAAGAGTATGTGCAAACAGAAAGCTGATTAGCATGAAGAGATGATCAAATGCATCCAGAAGTTTTTTTAATCTTTGTTTTAGCTAATGAGTTGGGACGAAGTAACAAGCAGTACTTGTTGCTGTTACTCAGGGTTTCTAAGCACTTATACTGCCACAAGAACTCTTTATACTGTAATTTCATGCTAACTTCTTTGAGTTTGCAGACCTTTTTGCTGAAACCATGGCAAGACTATGCAGACAGTACCAGTGATTCTTGTTAGCTCACTTAGGTTAATATTTCAATCTGGACTTTTGCTGCATGGGAAGATGCCATTCTATTTCTCTAAAAAGGCCTGCATCACTGAAGCTACTCTCTGATTGTGCTTTCATTATCATAAAAGCATAATTTTTATCATTTTTTTTTAAACTGTCTTCTTCTTACCCTACAAGCCTGATTGCTACCTTCACCTCCATCTCCGCTGGGCAGACAATCCATATGTGTCAGGAACAGTCCATACAAAGGATACTGCACCGGGGCTCATAATGGGGGCAGGTAAATGCATGATAGTATTTTTTAAGACCTGAAATGTGGATGATGTTCTTTGCAGAATTAGTCTTTGGAACAATAACATTAACCATGCTATAAGCATTGCCAAAATATGGCTTTTTCCTACATAATATTTCTTTAGGGGATCACTTGATCAAATGATTGGACTAAAGTTGGAGATTACTTCTGCCAAGACAAATCTGTTACAGTCGCCTGGATACATTGTGCTTCGCTGTTGCATGTATATGTCCTTTCTCCCTTAGGGTGGTATGAAGGAGTGACAGTGGCTGAATGACTTGTCCTACATTCTTTTTTTTGAAAGTGGAGTGGAGGGCCTTACCATCTCCTCCCACATCATGAATAGCCCAGCAAATCCATCAAAAATAATGGAATAAATAATCAGAAAATAATTTGATCTGAGCAATAGCATAGCCTTTGGTCTTTAAGCATAGATACAGATAATTGTCTTAGAATATTTATTAATTCCTTTCTGCCTAAAGAGAGATGAAATAAAGGAGGCAAATATACCTGTGTGTTGGGAACAATGCCAGTTGTGGGTTCTGCATTATAATGTATATATGGAGCCATACTACTCTTAAGTGAAATTTAATGAAGAAATTCTATTACAATATTGACCACTCATTATGAAAAATATTGACGCAAGTCTGTTTTACTTTGCATACTAGTAATTCATCCGTTCATTTCTTTAATTTTGTGTTTCTTCTTTTCAAAATTATTGAGATATCATATCTTAACTATTCTAAGAGCTTTTTCAGTGTATTTAAATTGCATCATTTTATTCTGATATTGTAGGTGATGTTTTGGTGAAATATAAACATGCACTGCTTGTCTTTTCCTGAATATGTGTTTATTTTTATTTTTAATCATTAATGTATTCTTCCTTCTCTTACACTAGTGTCTTATAAAAGGCTTTCTCAGTTGAAAATTTACTGAGAAAATCAAGGCAAGCATATCTGATGTTGAAAGAGAATGACATCTGCCATTATTTGCCATATGATTGAATTTGAAGTCTTCCTCTAGTGTGAATGGAGTTGAAAGTACTTTACTGCAGGGAGGCCTAGCTGGTGAAACACTGCTATATTTTTGTTGACAAGAATATGTCTAAGAATTTATACAGTACCTTTGTCAAGACATTTCTATGAAGTATCTAAGTAGGTGCTTAATTCACATTTTAGGTATTCCAATGCCTCAGAAAATAGCGTCCATTGCAAAGGATGTTCTTATTCCGCAAAGGTACTCCAAAGCTATGCTATTCTAATGTAGGTTCTTGTTTTTCCCTCATATGATATTTGAATGCCTCTTAGTAGCAGAATGTGGTTTAGTTAATGAATCTGTTACTTCTGTTTCATTTTTGTCTATCCTTGCGCTATACTATTCCGATGTGGTAAATTGTTTTTTTTTAAGATTTGTTTGTTTTCATTTCATTGGGGTTTTTTTTGTGAATATGCTGTCCTCCGAGATGATATTAGGGATGGCAGGTTGTGGAAGAGTATCTTGCACTTTGGTCCTTCCTACAGTGAAGAGAACTTTTATCATTGTGACATTATCTCATCATGCCTGGTAGGTAAACTTGTCAACAGCTTTCCTCAACGTGAACATTAGGCAGCCTTTTTGATGATAAGAGCTGGACTGATACGTTGAGTTTGACTTGATTGTGGGTCAACCAATAATGGAATTGAAATGATAGAGAGGCAAAATCATTCATATCCAGCTGGGCTAAAAAGGCCAAGAATGGTGCAGTACGTTCTTTCTCTGGTAGAAGGTCATATATATGCAACTAGAGCAGAGGGTCTTTGGAGTCTTCCTGAAAATTTTAAAGCACAACTGTATGCCCCTTGCAAATAGAAGAATTGAATCAACTTGGATTTTGACTTGGATTTATATTATTTGGATGCTCAGGTCATCTAGATTAAGTGCACGTATTCAGTTTTATCTGACAAAATTCATATCCTTATGAACTTACACTTTTTATCAGAAATACTTTACACACAAGAAGCTTGAATTTCTTTTGGCCCGATCCTCAAAACTGATGATCGTATGCCAATCAACAGAAGTGCTGGTTTCTTAACACATGCAGAAATCAGATCGATTGGGCCACATAACACACTACCCTAATTTTACTGTTATGATTTAGTAGGAGCACATCTTCTGGAATGATAGAACATGGTAAAAATCTCTATGTGTCCGTTGATCACAGTGTGACTATGAACCATCAGTGCGTCGTGCTATGAAAAAGGGAAATGTAATCTGAGGGCGAGGTAGGTAAATGATTACCAGCACAGAGAGCAAAATATTAATGCTCTAACAAAAGGTTATAGAGAAACCTTATCAGTAACAATTTGTACAATTCCAGTCATCAGTTTTCAAGGACAAGAAGCAGGTAGGTGCTAAGAAGGTCTACTTGGAAGTGGATGGAAATAGAGATTCTATTTACAATAGGAACCTTGTGAGCTGAGAAGAACAAAGGCCAATAAAAAATACCATTTTTTCCTGAAAGTACAACCATGAGGTAGAAACAAATGGTAATAAAAAGATGTTTAACTAAGGTATGGTGTAAACAAGTGGAGAAGAACTGGAAACTGGAGAACCATTTCTAACCGTAAGAGCAGTGAAGTCCATCTTCTTACTGAGAGTAGTGTGGTTATTAATCAAACAAACAAATAAAAAAAAATCTCTTTAACATGGAGTTTAGTCACTTTATAAGGAGATTGTATAACACAATTGTTTGTGATATTAGAGAACTTAACCTGTGACTTATAGATACTTTTGGTAATATGCTCACAAATCAGAGCACTGAGATTATTGAATATTGCTTTAATTTAAAAAATTAAATTTAAAAATTTAAAAGAACAATTACATGGAGAATAGCGTTAATGCCTAGAGCATTTGGAAGGATGCAATAATAGTATTTTAAAATTCCATCTTTTGAAACTCACATTTAGGAATGAAAATTCTACTCTATTAAAGTTGCATAAATTGTTCTGAAAAATGCATGTTTTTAGCTTATAAATATATATAAATTGTGCAGACAGAATATTACAGTTTATAGCTGCACATTAAAGTGTTCTTTGAAATAACTAGTTTGCTCCCTTTAAGGAACGTTTTAGTATTTTGCATTTACATTTCATTTTAATCTTGGCCACAGCTTCTTTTTTTCACAGCATAAGCTATGAAATGTATGTCAATTGATGTGGAAATTTTTACTATAAACTTGTGAAGGACTTCTCTCTGAGAAATGTTAGAAGTGTAGATTTTTCAGATGTTAGTTTACTGTAATTCTCTGCTTAGCCTCCAGTTCAGATGGCAAATCAAGTAAGCAGTGAGTTTGGCACACCAGCGTGAATTGAGGAAGGAGTTCAGTTTACTGTTTGTTGTAGCTGGCCCAAATATGCTGTATACGTTGTGATGAATTTATGTCTCCTTTCACAAAAGTAGCATGCCATGATGCCGCTACAAGAAAGGATGAAGGAACAGGGATGTGATAGAACATTTCCCAGTGAGCTTTGGAGTGAAGATGCTACCATTCTCTAAGATTTTTCTCATGTCAGCATGTTCCCAGATTCTGATAGTGTGAGTCGCTCCCTCAGTCCACAGCTGAACACATGTTCAGTCTGCTGAGCAGACGTTGTCTGTCTGGGACATTTAAACACAAATTCTGTGTATGCTTGTTCTACACTGTGACTTTTAGTTTATGAACCACAAGTTTTTAGCTTATTATTCATTGACTGGAAAGATGGTATAACTGTGTTAATTAAACAGTGATCTAGGCAAGTTATATATCTCTTTTTGGAGTTAATAACGCCTGTGTGCTAAATTTAAGTGGCCAGAAAAGACTCCGTATTTGAAGGGTTATCAAAATTTTACAAATGGGAAGTATTTCCTCTCACAGTAAATATGTCAAAAATCACACATAAAAATATTAGAAAATGCAGTGAGCAAGTAGCAGTTAAAAATATGTAAATGAGTAATAAATTGTAAGTGGAAGTAGTCTGTCATGTTTGTGTCACACAGTAGGAAGCTACCACAGTACTTGAACAAGGACAAAGTTCAAATTAGCTAAGATGTCCCATCCTCTTTTGAGATCTAGGGGATCTTTAGGTGTTTTATGCAGCCCTACCACTCTTCCAGAGAGCTTAGCTGGCCATTAATCATCATTAAGATGCATCACTTTCTTTTAGATCCCTGTGTCACCAACTTCTAAACTGGTACATGCAAACTTGGGAGTAGCCTGGAGAAGTATGTTGAAGAACAGTTGTTATTCCTGTATTCTAGCCTTCATGAGAACTCGCCACCACTACTACCATGAATGGAACATCATGATTTTACCCAGTTACCTTAAAATTAGCCTTAACTCAAGACAGGTAAAGTGGCAGCAAAAGAGAGAGTGTCGCCGTATCCCAAAGCACAGTTCAAAAAGATTTGTAAGAACTCAAGTAACAGAGAAGAAAGAAAACCGTGCCTAATCCCCTGTGTGAAATTATATCTAAAATGTTTCCTTTTATTTCCTGAATTTAACTCACAAGTTGTCAGAAAGCTCCCATAAGCATATAACAACATAACAAGGGCTCTTGCTGGCTCAGATCAGAAGTCCATCTAGTGCAGTATCCTGGTTCTGATGACGGTCAAAATTTTTTGGAGAAACATTTAAGAACAGTGCAAGTGTGTATTATATCCTTGATCATGGTTTAGGGGAGAGCACACTCATAGGACTGTTTCTAATAAATAGTATGGACAAGACCGCATCAGATTTAGCTCTCTCAACCTACACAGTCCAATGAAGCAGACTTTGTATCCTCAGACACATCCGTTATGACTTGGGGCATGCGGCGCACGTCCTCAGTTTCATGCTATGGAAACACCATGTTTATAGCCTACAACATAACCTTCGTAATATTTTAGGTAATTTAAACTGAAAAAAAAAACCCTCACAAAAATACAGCTCATGGCGATGGCAGCACTGCTTGGGGGCCTTAGGAGACCCAGGGCTATGTGTTATGTAGTAAAAGGTAAAAAGAGGTGGAATAGTAGACATTTATCCGAGAGCAAAGCTAACAATGTGTTCATTAAAAATATCTGTACAAAGAAACACGTAGACCAGCAAAAATAATTTATATGCTATCAAGAAAATAGGTTTTATCATCTCCAGCTATCCCAAAGAAAAGGTAATTCCAGAAGCATGAGAACATATTCATTCAGAGAAACACATAGCAATGAAAACTGTGCAAATATCAAGGAAAGTAAGAATACAAGAGAAGCCAAGAAACGTGTTTTGTATAGACAACAAAACACTTGCTAAAGAGAACTATGGATCTCTGTAACAAAACTGTAAAGGAAAGAATGTGTCTGTGAGAGTGATTAGGATAGTGTAAAGGAGAAGCTGCAATTTATATGAGCGTGACTCTAACTCTGGAAAAACATGCAAGAAAAGACAAGAAAATCTTCTAAATCAGGTGCCCAAATGTGTTCTTATCTGACTAAACTGCACTTGAAATAATTGTGTTTGTAACTGATTTTATGCATCTCCTGCCGATTGTGTTTCTTTTCACATTGTACATGTATGTTTTGACTCTGATGTTACACTTTTTTTCCCTGTATTGTACTGAGTAAGTTTGTATGTAGAAGTTAACCAAAAGAGAGAGAAATGCCTGTGCTTTAATTTTCTAACAAGAGTCGTGTGGAGATTGTAACTCCTTTCTTTAGGAGATACAAAAATAGAACTCCTATTTCTTTAAATTTATGATAGTCTATTTTTTTAGTTTTTTACTCTAATTTCTGGTAAGAATTTTTTGAAAATTTCCAAATGAATGACTTTTCATGGAAAATTCTGCTTTTCTAAAGCAATATGCTTCAGGAGACTATACCAGGAAAGTATCCTTCTTTGGGATAGAGAATCCGATCAACATTAAAGGGGTTTCCAATACATATACCTGCTTCAGATTCAGGAGCTTGTCAAATTGAAGATTTGAACTTCAAATTTTTGAACCAGTTCCGTGCATCTCAAGAGATGCCTTTACTGGTTAGGGCAGTGACTATCTGGGATGTGGATCTTTATTCATTTTCAATGAAACACAAGAGAAAATTTATGCTCCTCATCATTCATCATGCCAGTTTGGTTCTTACCAACCTCCTATTCCTTTCCACCTGGCAAATCCTGAGAAGGTGATTTCTTATCCACGCCTCCTTCCAGTGACCAGATTGATCTTTACAGGTGGGGAACCCTCCTACACAAAGCTGAATGTCCCACTCCCTGATGAGATTTGTGAGACTCAGGAAAGTCAGATCATGTTTCCTGACCTCTGCTCACATGTTTTTTTAGGATTCAAAGTGTTAATGCATTAAAAATGTCCATGAACCTAGCTAGATCTAAATAACCTTCAGTTTGAGAAGAAAATACAATTGAGCTCAGGTGTGAAGCTTTCATTTTTGACCTGTCTCTTTAAATAATATTCAGGTTCAAATTATATTTAATTATTTTTTTTCTCTGATACCAGAAGCTCTGCCTAAAGGATTGCAACGTGACTGTAACCGAAAGACATAATTTTCCAAGGAATACAGGACAGAATAAACCCAAAAGCTGAATCTTTTTAAAAAAAAATGTGAACCCCTGGTGGTCATTTCTGCATAATACGGATGATGTGGTTGTAGCTTTTGGTTGCTTCTGGCACTGAAGCTTCATTGTGATTGCTGGTATCACTACAGCCTTTCTCAAAACTAGACAGTCTTATGCAAAAACAATAACCTTTTTGTGAAGCTGTGTAATTGCCCTCTCTAGCCCAGCTGCATTGATCACATCAGCAGGCAGAATAATGGGAAGCTGATGAGATAACGTGCCTCCCTGGGTAAGCACCGAACAGTCCCGGTGCTGACCTAGCTAGCCTATTTTGAAGATGGTGATGTTTGCAGGGAAAGGAGGACTTCACAATTGCGTGTTTCTCTTGCCTTCCTATTTTGCAGAACTGGTGTCCCATCCAATATTAATGAGAGTTATCCCTGCACTTTGAGTCTAGGCTGGTGCTGGCACATTTCTTATTACAGGTTTTACGTATACTTCATCCGTATAAGCCTGAGTCTTAGGTATGTGTTCAGTGGGTATCAGATTACTTCATTCATAATGTATCGGTTTATCAAATCTCATCATTGCCTACAGGATCATGGGCTCATTTTCAAAATGACACAGCCAATTAAATCTGTGCTGAATTACTTGATAAATGATAGAGCATGGAGAGGGTTGGAACGATAGAAAATGAAGAGATAGTGGCATCCTCTGAAATTTTACATGCAGTTGAAGGAAAAGAACTAATTCCTATAAATTCTGTGATCCAGCAAAAAGAATTTTGTAACCCTATCTAGCCTCTAGCCTGTGTTTAGAGTTAAATAATTTCAAGTTAAACCACTAAGCAGTGAAGCACACACAATCTTGATGGTCCAAATAGAGCATGTATTTTGGGCAGTGCACGCAATCGATCCTCTCAAGAACCTTTCAGCACTAATGAGCGCACTCCATCAGCATGAACAGATTTGTTTTAGTGGTAAAAACAGCTGTTTATATAACACACAAGTGAAATTTCATACCGCTATCCTAATCTCAAGTGTTTTCTTTCCTCAAGTCTACTCTGCTTAAGAAGATCTGATAACTTTTATCTTCTTTTTACTCTAAAAACATGTAAACAACATATTTAAGGCAAAATTCCCTGAAGGATATAATTTAGAACGAAGAGTGTGCTACGATTGCTTCTTCACAAAAACAGTCCGAACTTGCTGGCGATTTAATGGTTTGCTACTTGAAATACAGCTTGTTCAAAGATAGAGATCTCGATATTTGGAATTGCATCTGCTAAGATCTGGTTCCACAAGTTTGTCCCAAAACTTCCGTTTGCTTTGGAGCAATCTGAACGCTCTTCAGCTACTGCTCTTCAGTGCTTCTTGTCAAAATATTCAGTAGCTTCCTGGTCAATCTTTAAGTAAATCAGGCAATTCTACTTTGGACTCTTTTGTATTTACAGATCTTTTCAAACCCCTAGCCACAATTTTTCAATGTTATATATTTCTTTGGATTCCAAATTTTTCTACTACTTCATCAGATCTTGCAGATAAAACATATTTTATATTAACAACTCATCTTCTATATTAACAATTAAAATTCAAGATGAATAACAATAAGGTTTACATCTTAAATGAATACTCTTTCACCATTTGTTATATAGAGGAACATAACTAAAATATTCTTTAATGCTTGTGGATAGTTTTGAATAGAGCCATAAGTTTTTAGGCCAAGAAACAATGGACATACAGAAAAACAATGATTCCACCCTTTGCTTCAAAACAGAATCAGTTGTATTTCTTGTTCTTAGATGTCCCTTTAAGCTGTTCTCAAAGGCTTGCAGTCACAGCAAACTATTCCAGGGCATTACTTACATTGCCATTAGAAAGTGAAGTGAGTTTTGGGCTTATTGTACAGATCATAGTGATGTCAATGATATTTAATATTCCCTGGTTTGTTTGAGGGTACCTTTAGTCTTTTGTGTGATATTATGTGATATTTTATACCTTCTTTCTGTTACATGTTTTTACAGTGCCTGATAAAATTGGGTCCTGATTGCTGATTAAGGTCTGTGGAACTGTGGCACACATTTTAATAATAATTTGTGGGTTATTAAATCCTCAGTATGTAGTAGTCCTGTAATACTACACAAGAACTAGACAAGTTAAAGAAATTACCTTCTATGTGTAAAAGCAAAGGAGGTTCATGGGCAGAGAGAGGGGACTGGGATTTACTGTTTGAATCTGCCTTGGTCTGTTTTGGCAAGCTCAGTTCTTTTATGTTTTTTGATCTATGAGTTTAATGTTCTTCACTCCCCTTCCTCCACAGTCATTCCCTCCTATATATTAGGAAGCAACCAGGAGCATATGTAAGCAAGGAAATCTGTGACTGATTGATAGTTAGGTAAATTGTCAAGGATCCTGGAGTAACCTTTATCTTGATAGACTGACCATCTTGTCAGGTGATTTGTCATTATTGCAAAAGTAGTTTCATGCATTATTTTCTGGGCAGAAGAGGTAGGGTTAAGGATGGACTGACTGTAAAGTAAAGGTTCAAGATGGAGGGCACAAAATGTCGTGGCGGTAGCAGGAGCAAGGGAAATAGACCTTACTACTGTGTCTTTGGCAAAATCTTTGAAATCTTTATGAAGAGCAGTGAGTGTTCTGGACTTTTTACAAGCCATTCTATTTCTTCTTTAGGGTGTGGTTAGGCCTCTGCATTTTAGTGTTCGAGTTAAGCCTCCTTGCTCCCACCCTTTAGACAACTATGTAAATGTAAAAAAAACAAGCAACCAACCAAAAAAAAAAAAGGTTACATAATATGTTTTTAAGAAGATATAGCTGGTGCTACCAGAAATGCCTGGTGATCATTCAAATTTAGTTCTTGCTCTGGCCTGAAAGCTTCTCGCTCTGACTGTTATCACTACTAGATCCAATCTGTTTTGGCCTGACAGTCATTTTTTCTTGCACTTTTGGACGGGGGAGAGGATGACTCCACTGTCTAAATGCAATCTTTGTATCCTTCTGTTTTGTGATAGGTAACCTGGGGTCTCAGCTGGTTGAATATAAAGAAGAGATGTACATAACATCCGACTGTGGGAACACGTGGCGTCAGGTAGGAAGCAGAAGTAACCAAAGACATCTGGAAATAATTTTAATGTACCTAATGTGATGAATATTACAATGCTTATCTAATCTAACTAATCTTTAGTTAGAGGCAGGTAGCTATTATTATCCTTATTTTGCTTGGAAGCTGCAAGAGATTAAGGAGGAGATTTGCAAAGACTGAAATGGGCTGTTCTATCAGGTTCCACTGCTACTCAAAAACAATAGTCTTTAAAGTTCTTCTCATAAATATCTTGCATAAGAAGCATGCAATTCTCTAAGGTTTAAATAGCTTAAATGATCATCTTATGATAACAATGAAGTGGACATGGGCTAGTTCTTACAGCACTGATACTCCAACCTGAAAGACATGGTTTAGGTAAAAAGGAAGAAACTCTTCTGCTTCTTAATCTGAAAACTTATATTTAAGCTTAAACTCAACTCTGTTCTACTCTGAAACTGAGAAAACAAGAAGAGATGGAAAAAAACCCACAAACCTTTGGGGTTTTTTTGTATGATTTAATTCATTCTGAGACTACAGATATCAAAGTGTTTAAAACACAATCTTGCAGTAATTGTAATGTCATTTGAACTTTGAACCTCTTTTGCTCACAGTGCTTGATGTTGGTTTAAGTTCTGCATCTTTATTATATATTTTATCCTAAATTACTCTGTCCAAGCTATGTTAAATCATAGGGATATTTTCTTCTTGACTGTTAAATAACTGCTTCAATAATGATCATAAAATATAAGTTCTGGAACCTACTTATAATGTTTATCCAGGAAGAAAAAAAACCTCAAAGCACAGAAATGTGTCATAAAGTCATTTAATTTCAGTTAAAATAGTGTTTTAATGTTTAGGTGAAATAAAATTCAGTTGTGTTACTATTTGAGAATAAGGAAGTGTGAGTATGCTCTCACTAGTGTTACTGAGCCCAGAGAGAGTGTGAAAAGAAAAGAGAATAATAGGGATGTTTTCTTATATTGCTGTTGTAGGGTACGGGTACCATTTATACTCCACAGAAAGTCTTTTTAAAAGTAGTACATTGTTTTTGTCATGATAATGTCCTTTGAGTTTTAAAAGATAAGTTTTTATGCCAATTTTTTTCTCACGTTCTAGCGGATGATAAATAGATGTTTAAATGCAAAAGCCTTAAAGGATTTGCAATGTGTACTGTGTTACATAATACTTAATAAAGACTTATCTAATGATTTATTGTCACCATTTACCAAAGTTCTATATTTTACCTGGGGTGAAAAGTAAGAAGGAAAGAGTGAAAGGGGATCAAATTCCTATTCTCACTGCTTTTGTTTGTGAGACACTCAGGCAAATGAGATGTGATGAAATTTGACCTTAAGATGACTATTCAGGCTGTAAAATCAGTCAGAAACTGATCCTCATTATGACAGCCAAAATGAAAAACACTGTTGCTTTCTTTATTTCAATTAAAACTGCTATGAAGCCTTTGAAAGCACTTACTCAATCTTAATATTTGTGATCAGAATGAAAAATTAGATTATTTTATCTGATTTATGACCTCACTATTCATGATCAAACAGTTCCTCCTGAGGACGGCTGTACATTTCCTTTCTCTGTTGAATTTCGTGAAACAAAAGATGACTTCAGTGAGATAATATAGGAATTACTTAGATAGTAAATTACCACTCCTCTGAGCAGGCAAAAAAAGAGCAAAGCTCAAGTTTTGTCACAATTCTTAGGATGTGTTTATGTCACTGACTTGGAAACTGCAGTTGAGATAACTAAGTACCTGTTATCTCTCTCACATCCCATACATGTTGCTGTGGCGCTGTCTACAAGCTCTGCTAGAGGAAAAGCAGACTGTGCTTGTGTAGAGAGACAGAGCAATATAGAAAAGTAAATAAAAAGGATTTAGGGAGGAAAGCCAGTTCAAGGAATTAAAGGGTAATGAGGGTGATAAATAAAAGCTATCCTGAAATAACAGCAATATTGACACTAAAATTAATAGGAATATAGGACTGGAAGGAAGATCAAAGTTCATATAGTCCAACCATCTGTTCAGAGGCAGCATCAATATACCTACAGCATCTCTGATGGAGGTTTGCCTGACCTGTTTATTAATCCTTCACTGAAGGAGATGTTCTAGGCTTCCTGTGTACTGCTTCCCCATTCTTCATAGATTTTTCTGAAAATTTAACATAAGCTGTCCTTACTTTTTGCTTTGTTGTTGCAGTTTCACAAATTTTGCCTGTTAAGCTGATTTAGTCTGGTCTTTGGAGAGCAATGATTTCCTGTCACCTTGGAATAAACTTTTAGATATTCAGAGGTGATTATCGTGTCTACCCATAGTTAGAAAAAAGCAAACTCAAAACCAGCTTTTCCTGTTGGGTCAACTTTCTAAACTACTTCTCCCTCTTTCTGCTCATCTTTTGGACTCCGTAATATGTCTTCCCTCTCCTGGAGCATGATAAAATTGAATGCAATATTACAAATGTTATCAGTACTAAATAGAATGAGATGATTGCCCCTGATGTCTTGATGTTACTGGCAACTTAATTCAGAAGATTTCTGTCTTATGCAGTAGCATCACATTGTTGACTGAGATTCAGTTTGTGAACCATGATTGTGACTAGTCCCTGGATCACAGAATTTGTAATAAGTTCACAACTTAGCAACAGTCCATTGCTCAATTTCCTTCAATAATTTCTATACTTCTTAGAATAACTCCAACTAAACCCATATTTACATAATTTGCATATGGTAATGTCACACGAGAGGGTTCGTGAAGACTTACGGTGGTAGGATATACAGCTAGTGTTGATAAGCAGAAATAAAAACGCCCAAACAAGAAACCACTGTGAAATTAAATAAATCCCGCTGATAAATGGAAAAGTAAAACAAGGCTTCTGATTAGAAGTAGCCACAATACAACTTGGGCTGGCTTTGGTTTTTCCCCTTCCTCTCTGCTACATGTTGCTTCTTGGTGTCTCTTGAAAATATTATTTTACATTGCTTTTAACATTTTCAGACAAACTGAAATTTGTGACTTTGCACTGTACAACATTGCACTGTAAATAGCAGTAGTTTAGGAGCTGACTGACAAGCAGCTTAAATGTCTATGCAGCAACAGTGATTTGGACTTCATGCAGGAGAGGGAAATCTAATCTTGATATTATCATAAACTATGCGGGCTTAGATCATCTTAAATGAACTGTGAAGATACAGCCTAAGGTGAACATGTGGGACAGATATGTCTATTTGAAAGACTTCTTTGTTTCTTATACCAAGAAAACAATATCATGAAATGTGTTAATGAACATGATGTTGAATCAAACAGATAAATAAATACTGCATCCTCGGAGAAATGACCTATCTTTGAACACAATTTCGGACTATCCAGGTTTTACACACTTTTTTCTCTGTTGGGGCCTGTTTTTCCAGTCTTGATTTTTAAGATGTTAGAATAAAATGCTGAGGACAACCCTATGTATACATCTGAGTGTATAGGGCTTTTTTTTAAGAACTGATTTCTGTTCACATTTATTATTGCCATTGCTATTTCGACATAGCATCTGTTACAACGTTGTGTTTCAAGCAGAGCAAACAGAATAAGACAAAGGTCTGGCTTTCAAAAGAAATGACTTAAATAAAAGCAAAACACAGTAACAAAACTTTCTTATTTGATCTGTTGGAAAAGTAGCCAGTCCAGATACAAAAAGGTCAATTAATCTACCAAGGTTATACAGAAAAGTGTGTTGTATGTCTAGGAACTGAATCGAGATCTCTGGAGTTCAGGCCAGTGCTTTGTTTGTAGGAATATTCTTTCTCTATGTCAAGTCCTTTTGTATGAAAACAATTTGAAAAATCTCTTTGAAGCAGACTACTTATTTTCTGCAGAAGTCAAAGAGATGGATGGTAACACTTTTAAACACAACAGTAAAGGCTGGAATTCCAGCCTCTCACCAACTGGGAAGGTACAACTGGCTAGTTCTACCATAGGAAAAGTTCTGTTTCCAGATTTGAATTCGGAAATGGGTGTCACTTTGTGAGAGAAGCATGTGACTTTGAGTATATTTGTTTATTTTTGAAATTTACACATCTGAGAGTTAAGCTGCATGGAATACATTTGTCTGGGACTATTTGAACACGGTTTCAGTGACTTAATGGAATTCAGATGATCTGGCCCGAAGTATCTACTGAAGTTGTCACAATAGACGCAGGAACAAACAGGGAGAGGAATGAGAGAGGGGGGGAAAAGTTGACGTTATGATTATAAAGTACATAACATTCTCAAAGAAGTAAAAGAACATAGAAATATGTTATAATAAATTAGTGTCATAGTGGCTAACTACTAGTAGGGATCATAATAAATTTCTTAAATTACTTTAGTTAGTGGAAAGATTAAAATTTATATGTTGGAATTGATGACTGACTGTAAACATACGTGTTGTTTCTGGGTTCTAATTTAAGCTCTGACACCAGGACCGCCTTTGCATAGATTTCTTAAAAACTGTGTGTGTCTTGGTTTTGTTTCCAGAAAGTAAAGACAAATACTTATTTTTGCACTCAACTTCATAGGGATGAATTCATTAATTCTTTACAACATACTGAAGATGAAAATTTGCTTTCTTAAGGAACTTAATATATTTTGGATACGAAATGTTTGAAATGTGTGCAAGAAGAGGATGACAGAAAGGTCGCATTAGTATGCCTAGGACATGTCCAGCATGCCTTATAGCGTGCCACAGTTCAAGTGGAAGTAGGGTAAAGCTGAGGTACTGAAATGATGCACTAGTAAGTGCCCTGGTAATTTTCTAAGAGTAAGAGGGATAAACCTAATTTGGATGAAATGATACAGATGCTGAGTTCTGTTATCATCAGTATGAGGGTGAAGCTTTCAGAAACTGTATCCCAGCGTATATTGTTTCATTTTGATTTGAGCAGAAGTTCAGAGTTTGGAGAAAGATCAAAACTTTGCTTGCTTATCTGACTCCCACTGATCTCATCCTTTTGAAGTGCATCTAAAATTAATGACTGTCCTTTACTAAGTTCCCTTCTAAAATACGCAGCTCTGTGGAACAAGTCAATAGGAATGTAAAAAGCCTCATATCAGGGTTTTGCCTGTAAATTGGCAACATTGAAAAGCTGATCAGACACTTGAAGCTCTAGGATTCCCACAAAATATACTCTTATTAGATGAGAGAAAGACTGAATTTTGAACCCTAATGAAATGCTTACTATTTTTGAAGTAATTGTGAATGAAGATAAAGACTTTTTCCCCCTCCAGTTCAACCTACTGACAAATCCTCTAAATGTATGAGGAGAAGTGTTTAGTATCATCAGTGTTTTCTCATTCATGAGGCAAAGTAAAGCTAACGCTTACGTTTTCCACCTTTGCTTTGTCAAAGCGTGTGGGAGGCTGTATGTTCTTGTATTAATTGCTAAGTATGTATAATAACTCTCACTTTGTCACGTGCTCTTACAGTCAATGAACTTTCACAGACCAATAGCATGAGCAAACTCTGTCTTACAACAGATTTCAGATGTAAAAGAGGAAATGCGTTTATCTGTTCATTTATTTTAGTACTGCTGATGACCTCCAGAAAATGAATAATTTAGAACATTTTGAATCCTTTGTATCCTTGAATCACTGTTGTATGTATTTTGATTCCAAACTCAGAATGACCTCATTGTAAGAGCACATGAAGTTTCAGTTTAAATAAGTCATTAATACTGGAAATGCAGAAAATATGCTTGCCCAATTATTTAAAGTTTTATAGAGTCTGGAGAACATGTGAGAGAGTCACAGGCAGCAATAGCTGTCCTGTTTTTTTTAGAATTAGACTACAAAGTATTTCATTTTGCAAGATACATAAAATATGGCAAATACCAAAATAAGATGACATACAGCAGGTGAAATATAGCAGGAAAGAATGCAGAATGCATACTGTGAAAAATATAAGCTTGGGCTGAGATCACTGTAGACAGTTAAATCTGACTGTGAATTGAATTTGAAAGTTTTGTGATTCACCGGCTTAACTTCCTTTTCTTTTACAACTTGGATAAATTTAAGAATTAAACTGACTTTTTTGTCCTTTTTAATTTAAAATGCAGACATTGTAAAAGTCTTTTAGCCGTGGTTTGCTCATACACTTTATTTCTGCTGTTTGGTGTATTTGCTTAGCTGACCTTTTCTGTCTGGCTTTTAGGTCTTTGAAGAAGAACATCACATCTTGTACCTGGACCATGGTGGAGTTATTGTGGCCATCAAAGACACCTCGATCCCTCTGAAAATACTCAAGTAATGTTACAGTCAATGCTACAGTTAGAGCAGAGCTATTGTGTATTCAAGATAAAGTGCGAAGTTTAAGATGAGCATTTCAGTGTAATCATATTGGAAATTCAGGTGGAGTCAGCTTGGTTCAACATTCATTAAGTCAACAAAATGCAGGTTGATGTTTTCTTAAAGTTTATTTAATGATATTTTTGGTACCATGGCGTGCTGCGTTATCCATAATAAATTGTTCTAGCATCAGTGTAAATAGTTTTGCATAAAGGACTTCTGTAGTACTCTATGGTACAAACTACATTCAGCGTGATTGTTATCTGCCACAGGTTTGCAGCAGCAGTATATGGCAATGGTGCTCAACTTATGCTGCATAGATGCCAAAGGTGTCCTGTCAGAATAATTAATAATGTAATCAAGTTCTGTCCCCTTTAAGGGCCACAGCAAAGGAAGGTGTTGGAGAGTGGCTCTGGCAAGAGCAATATAATATAGGCTTCCGGAGCCAGGGAGAAAAGGACTGGTATGTCCTAAAATGCTGTGTAACAGTTATGCAAGAAGCCTAGTGCTTCTGAGAAATGCATGCACAAATTAACTGTACTGTGCATTAAGTGCAGATCCTGTCACATAGTGGGAATGCAGCATTTGAGTTTGTCAGGTTGTTTGGCAGGAAGAGTTTGGTGCTGCAAAGCGTTTTATTATAAAATAACAAGTTCCAAACTGCAGGATAATTTGAAAAATGCAGTATCCTTATACAATGGCATACAAAGTTATCATCTTTAGCATTATGAAAAGAGTAAGGGATCTTTATCACTCGTAACTAGCCCGATTTGCGTATATACTCTTTTCACTAATAGGAACTTGGTTAGCTAGAATAAAAGTTATCATTAACCTAAGTACCCAGAAGATTTGGAGGAAAAATATACAAGAAAACAGACTTTTGAGTCAAAATGTTTGGCTATAGTGGAGTTGCACAGAGTACTTGAAACACGTTTTGCTGATTCTTTTTGAAAGTGAAAGCATCTTTTGAAAATGTTTGAGTGGATGGTAACAGCTGTGAAGGGCCATCCTCTTGGTGCCTGCAGTGATCACACCTCCCACATGTTCTGGCAATTGAGATGTTTTGCCTACTCATGTTTCACTGACCTTTGCTTAACAGGTCTCTAGCTCAGAGACTGCTAGAGAGAATGAAGTGTAAATTAACTGGCTCTTGAACCCACAAGGTAGCAGAATGGTTTATTCACAGTCCTCAGTGTTTATTTGCTTGAGAATACCCATTGTTGTTGCAAGTTTAATATACATCTTCTAATAAAGATATGAGCCCCTGGATTTGTTACTGAGAAAAAGATCACATTAATGAAATATACTGACTAGGCAAACTGTGTTTTGGTCATCATAAATCCTGGGATTTAATAACCATGGATATTTTTTGAACTGAATTCTGATTTATGTAAGACTTGCTGTAAGTGAAAACCATGTCTACTTTTTCACAGGTTCAGCATAGATGAAGGCCAGTCCTGGAGTACACATAATTTTACCAGCACTTCAGTCTTTGTGGACGGACTACTTAGTGAACCTGGAGATGAAACTCTAGTCATGACGTAAGTTTTTGTTTTCTTCTATTTCTTTAGGGCTCTCTCTGCTAATGCACTTAAGTATATTTTTAATTGTGCATGTTTGAGATAGTCCTTGAGTTAGTGGCTTTTGTTCCTTGTGGTCACACAGGCTTTTATACTGATCATGTCTAAACAGCACTAGTGTGTAGCCTGCCTTTGAAATTATCTGAGTGCAATATTTCAAATTGTAAAGATGAAATGTTATGCATATGCAACCTCTCGTAGGCATGACTAGAGAGAATGGAATAATAAGACTGCAAATACAAACTTGAGAAATATAGGTAAAAATAACCAACTTCGTGCAATTTTTCAGTTTTCTGTACATTCTTAGGCAGAGTTCATAAAATGTTAAATACCTATCCTTTCTTCTTGTGAAAATTGTCTTTACAGTGTAAACAGCTATATTGTTGTCCTCGTAACTAGCATTGCGGTAGTTTATGTAACGGAGCTGTGGAACAAGCACGTTTTACTTCTGTGCAGTGATTGTGGCAGATGCTGTGAACAGAGTTAAAAATAACCAAATTCTGCGACTCAGGTCCGTGTTTATCTGTCTTTTCCCCAAGGGCCATGGGCATCTGGATCAGAGCTACACGTTTTGCTCTGTCTCTAGGATAAATGCTGATATTTTAAAAGTGTCTGAGACTAAAAAAACACCTGTCTAATTTGAGACAAAGGCACGTGGTGACTGCAGTAGTGAAAGGAAATGCAAGAAAAAAAAAGCATACCTGCACTCAAAGATGTGCAAGATGTTATGTTTGCTCATATCACTTAGAACAGCTTGTGTGCCCCTGCATGTTCATGACAAGGTTTTTCTCCTAGGAACTGCAAATAGAGCTGCCTTTAACATGTACCAGTAGCATTTCCTCAAGAAAAAACCCAGCTCAGCATAGGAGTTGCGTGAAGGATCTGCAGCAAAAAAGAAATTCAGCCCAGTGTATTTAAAAGCATCGTACCATAACGTTGTACTCCACAGGAGTGAATTTGGCCTACTAGTCATTCTTTCTTGCTGCACTGTCTCATTTCCTTCTGTTATATATACGTTTCTGTTCTATTATGTATATATGATCTGAGAAGAACAAACTTTAGTTTTCAGCCATCCTCCGCTTCTCTCAAACATAGATTTTTATAGTATCATATATGTCACACTAAGATATTTAGGAGGTCTCTGAATGAAGGATTTCCATTGATTTCAATGGAAGTGCAAGGATCAAAAGCTTTTCCTAAACCATACTTTTAGGAAGATAAAAGGGTAGGTTATGACTATATGCTCCATTTTTTTTTTAATTCATAAAAAGCATATGATTTTGTGAAAATGTATTTAAATATCTGTCTGTATAGGCCAAAGAGATCATGCAAAACATGATAGCTTTTTTAAATAATCCAATGGAAATAGACCAAATTGTAAGTGGATTAGGTACGTGAGCATAGACGGACAAAAAAGCATCATATGACTTGTATTTTCTAAGGCCAGAAGAAAAGAATCTGATTCCAACCATTCTTAAATCCAGGGCCGGTCTGGTAGGATCTTACTTTACACTCATTCCGCTAAACATGGAGGTAGACCCCATAGCACCACAGAGTGGCCCTAAAAAGACTTGCTGCTTTCCTTCCTGTCTTTAAATGTAATGGAGAATAAATCCGCAGTATGTGTTTTCCAGTTGACATTTTGTCAGCTTCCTTACCTCTCCTGCTGGCTTTTGATTGGGTTTTACCTTCAGGGTGACATTGTCTGCCTGCTGTTTGTTCTGTCTGCCTTTACGTCATTATTAATTTTCTTTTAAAACTTTGCACTTGTACTGAGTCACTGGGCATGACTGACTCTACAGTGATTTGCTGCTTTTGAGAAATGTCATCCACTGATACACACTCCCTGTAAAAAAAAGCCAAATCAAATATGCCGTCTTTCCCATTTTATTAGCAAGAGGTGACTTTTTTCTGGGGAGAACATTAACTTGTATAAGGTAAGATGAACTTCTGCATGGTAATGGAAATAAATTGATATAGTGTCTTTCATCCTGAAGAATCCCCAAGTCCACTACTAGGGACCTCATCTGATATTTTGTTACTTGTGTAGGATTCTCATTTTCTCCATTTTGTAGGAGATTTGTTTGAATAAAGAGTTTGAATAAAAGTCCATTGTCAAAATCCTCATAAATTAGCAGAGATAAAATAATTTGACGTGGGAGGGTAATAATTGAAAGTGTGTGCAGCAGTATGGTGAAACAGAGACTGTTTCATTTAAAGCTGCTAGTGCAAACTCAGAAAAGAGTCAAAGAATATTTTACTTGTACAGAAAACATCTGTTACTGGAGGGTAAAATCCTGGTTCCACTGAAGTCAGTGGCAATGGGGTAGGGATTTGCTTCTAGTTTTTAAGAATTTTTGTTAAAAAAGATGAACAAAAAGATTGTCTGGGAAAAGACATTAAGGGACCTGGTAACACTGCATGTAAGAGAGACATTTTATTTTCCAGTGTGATGACTAGGGCATTGACCTGACAAGTAACGGACTTTCATTTGAATTCCTGTTCTGTCCTAACATATCCAAAGAGAAGTGATCTGAAAAGCTTTACTGAGGAAATGGGGGAATGTGAACCTCAAGTCTTCATTTCAGAAAGTGCTGTGTTTTTTTCAGAATAGAAGAAAAACATTTGTTGACTGACCTGTCAAGTTTTCAGAAAAGTGAATTGTCATCTGCCAGTCAGCACGAATCAAAATCATTTATCTCACTCTCCTGCAATATTCAAAATGTGTACTCCCAAACGCCAGAGAGTATATATTTTATTCCATTTTGCTCTGCAGTAGGTCTAGTTAGGAGTTTTAGGAGTTTTGAGCAATAAAGTATTCATAAAGTTTAGGAAATGCATTCTCTATAAAATTTCTACATGATCTCAAATCTGCTATTTATTGTTAAACAAATAAGTAAGGCTTGCTAAGAAATTTTTTCAACTAACTGATATATATTAAATTTATCAAAACAATGCATGTTCTAATGGGCTTTATTTTGTCCTTGATTCTTTAAGAGTGAAATTTACTGCAACCAAATGTTTTGCAGTTTATAATATATTTGGGGAAAAAAAAATCACTTAGTAACACTAGATGAAGTAAAAGCCCCACTTAGTGGAAAAAGGAAGAATTTTATGTGTCTGAAATATGGATATCCCTCTTTAAAGGAAGTAGTTCCTACAATGAAAATTTCAAACTTGTTAAAATGACTTCTGAATCACAGTTCAGCTTCTGTGAGAGTATCTCCCAAACCAGGTTATTTAGAATGCAGTGTAAACCAAGCAGGCCTGGTAACCACGGTGCGGAGTGTGGTCCCTTTTAAAAGGCCAATAGGAGATTATGTAACGACGGCTTCCTTTCTTCATGTCAGCTAGACTCAAAGTCTTTCTTATGGGAATCTTTCCAGAGGGCTCCTTTTCTAAGGTCTTGCAAACTAACATCTTAACATGCTGTTGGGAACTTCAGGACACCTTTGAACTACAGCAGTTCTGTGTGTGCATCTTTCTCTCTTGGAAATCTGATTTTGCAAACCTTGTTGGTTTCCTAGGGAAGCAAAAAAAAAAGTCTAGTATAAACTTAATCAAAGCAAGGTGGACAGAGTATAAAAATGAGGTTAGATATTAGGGAGAAACATCTGGATTTTTACAACTAGTGATTTTGCTTGGGGGTGTCAACATCAGCTCTAATGGGTGTGTAGCTTGTGGGCTTATTGTTTTGCCATATCGGCAGCACACTACCTTTCCTGTTGTCTCTTTGTTTCTTGCTAGGTGGAGGTATTCTCTGTGCTGTAAATTCTTCACTACATTCTTCACTGTCTTATACTGCAGCCCTAAAAATTGAAAGTAGCTAAATAGTAGATAAAACCTCATTATGTAAGAGAATAGCTGATTTCCTAAAGCAGGCTGTAGATTTTCTTTGCACCTGCATAATCTAATGTTTGAATGTAGTTTCAAGAAGTATTACTCAATTATGAAATGGTTGTTGTACTCTTTACGCAACGAGGAACATACCCAAATGTCGGTAGATGGAGGAAACATAGACAGGTAGGAAATGGTGACCGTGCCAAAAGAACACTGAAAAACAAACTAATCACTCTATTTCAGCCTAATCTAGATGTCAGCTAATCCAGACATCCAGATATGAGCTTTGTGGTGGGCCTCAGCTAATTCTGTTGCTGTCGTCTCAGTGAACACACATATTAGCATATCAAGTCAGTGTGTAGCAGTGTCACTGCCTACCTGTGGTCTTGGTGTGATCCAGGAACATGGGACTGCCGCTTTCCTCTCTCTCTGCTCTGAAGAACTCCGATGTGTATGCTTTGTTTTTTTTTCCCGTTTCGTAAAATTGGCCTTTACGACTATTAGCGTAACATTTTCAGAAGCATGGGAACCCGACGCTTTCAGTGCCTTGCTACAGCCCATATTTAGCATATTTTGAGGGCAGACCTGGAAAGATATTTGGATAAAAGAATTGAAAGATTAGGAATCCAAGTCCTGTAAGAAACCTTGTTGTCCTGCCTGCGTTTAAAGACTTGTAAGGAGAGAAAGAGGATGACACAGTGACTCTTGTGTTTGGATAGAGTCTTTGTGACATTTTGGGGGGCCTATTACTAAGTGTGTGCCTGCAGCTTTAGTGGTCTGAACTCTCTTTCAGGGAGACCGTTCCCTTTCAGTTTTTAGTTCTAATTAGTGGTGCTGATGAGCTAGACATTTGAAACTTTGGCCTACTATAAAATTATTTAAACGTTTTACTTAAATTTGGGTGGGACCTGGAACTCTTCTCAAAATGAAGGAGCCACAGTTTAGGTAAGCATAAGCTATTTACTTCAGATCTGCAAGGTGAAGTATGAATGAAGAATTCCTTCCTTGTGGCAAAAGAGATCTGCTTTTTAAATAGTTGAGTAGAAGAAAAATACAATTTGTTAGGTAAAGAAGTAGTTATAACATTTTTAAGTATTCCAGATAAATTTGGTCTTTAAGAT